AGGTGGGGAGCAAACCCAGGCTCAGCAAGGGGTCTCATGCAAAAAAGACCTACTCAGCCCTCCTATGTCCTCCTCCTTTGGTTGTCCCCAGGGCTATCACCAACCCATACTAGCCTTTGTGTGAATCAGAATAAAGCAATTCTGTCTAGGGAGGGAGCTCTCATCTCCACTCGCCTCCCTGGCCGGATGTCCTTGGACAGTACACACACAACTCTATGTAGATAGAGCCCTAGTTTTCCCTCTTCTGGACAACTCCCGTGTCCTTGCCTTACCGTAGCCTTTCTCCCCATAAGCCAGGAAGGGAGGAATAATGATCTTTCTTTTCTCTCCAGGACACATGCCCAGCAGTCCTTGGTCCATGCCTTTAATCAGCCAACCAGAGCCGATGTAGGTGTCGTAGGTGCCTCCCCGACTGTAGCTGCAGAGAATAAGGCAGAGACCCCGTGGCTGGAGGTGAGGGAGGCAGAGCGGACTAGAATACCCTTCTCTTGCTCACAGGTCCCAGCCCTTAGGACTCCTAAGGTTCTACCTGTTGTCAAAGGCGGTGCCATCAAGCAGGGTGCCGTTGTAGTGGTAGCGCACAAAGTCGCTGTTCTGCACCATTCGGGGGCAGTGAGGGGGCCGCAGGAGGATGGTCACTTGCACCGTGTCAGCCTTGTTCCACACATCCAGCAGGACCACGTCAAAATAGAGGGTGGCGTCAGGGGGAATGAGGCCCGCTGCGGGGAAGCAGCAAAGGTTCACTCCTCAGTTCACCTACACCATCTGCTGGACCTCTGGCCCCAGCTACCATCCTTCCTGGGCAAGCTGGGACTCCACACAGGGCTCCGCATCCTGCTCCATTCATTCCAAAGCGAAGCGATGGCCATATTCCCTACCAGACTGCCTGCAGTGTGACCTTGGCCAACTCACTCAGCCCCTTTGAGCTCTAGCCTTCTGCCTATTCCTGCCTCCTGCCCCCATCTCCCATCCCCTGTGCCCATCTCCTGACCTCCTTACCCACACCAATGCTGCCGTAGCCCAGGTGGGGAGGCACAATGAGGCGCCGGCGCTCGTTGACACACATGCCCATGAGACCTCTGTCCATGCCAGTGATGAGGCGGCCTACACCCACAACGATGGCCACCAGGGTGTTGCGGTCATAGCTGGGGGAGTAAGGGGGCAGATGAGGACACGTGTAGCCACATGATACCCTCCGCCCTCAGTCTCATATACACAGGACATGGTGCAGGCACACACACACACACGCCTCACTTCCTCTCCTCTCCAAGTCTCTCTCCTGGGCTAGCCCTTCTGTTCCTCTTGGGGTAACAAGTTGGATAGGTGTGGGTGCACACTTTTAACTCCAGCACCTTGGAAGCAGAAGCGAACGATCTCTATGAGTTCAAGGCCAGCGTGGCCTAAATAAGGAGTTCCAGGACAGCCAGGGCTATAAAGCAAAACTATCATCATCATCATCATCATCATCATCATCATCATCACCATCACCAAGAACAGGCTGTTACAAGAGAGAAGTCCCAGAGAAGGCCAGAAGCTTTTACTCCCCTGAAAGGAGGGTGGGGTGGAGCAGATAAGCCTGTCGGCTCCTTACTGCTCCTTCTGATAGTGTAGCTCAGAGGACAAAGGAGTATTTGTTGAGCACTTACAATATGTCAAATTAAGTGCTTGGCGCTTTACGTTCCTATTTCACTGAATTTTCTCCCCATGAGGGCATTATTGTTTTCAGGTTTTCTTCTTCTGATACTGGGAACAAAAATCTAGGGCCTCACATGTCAGGCAAACATCCTGCTGCTGAGCTATATCCCAACTGTTCTTATTTTTCGTTTGTTTTTTTTTTTTTGAGACAGTGTTTCTCTGTATAGCCCTGGCTGTCCTGGAACTCCCTTTGTAAATCAGGCTGGCCTTGAACTCGGGGACCTGCCTGCCTCTGCCTCCCCTAGTGCTGGGATTAAAGGCCTGAGCCAACACGCCCAGCTTTTTGTTTTGTTTTGGAAGAGAAAAACAGACCTGGCGGACTCATTACCCCACCTGAGGTCACAGCTCCTAGTTTCTGCTACTAAGCACCCGTTCTCCAAGAAGAGTGGCCAGAGGGGAGAACAGAAGTGGCCAGAGGGGAGACGGAAAGCAACCTTCCTTGGAAGAAAGCCTGTTCTGAACTCACCCTGCTTGTATTTGTTTTCACAAGTAAAGAGAGAGTTCTTTTCTTTAAAGAAAGATAAAGAGATTTGATTATGTATGGATGTCTGTGTGCGCCTATGCAGAGGCCCCCAAAGGGCACTGGGTGTCCTTGCCTATCACCCTACGGCTACTCTTTTGAGGGTCTCTCCGTGACCCTAGGTATGCACACGATGCTCAGTTTCTCGTATGGCTGCTACTCCTTGCAATGATTGTACAGCTAGTGCCCTTAACCATTGAGCCATCTCTCCAGCGACCCCCACCCCTGCTCTTTGAGACAGGTGTCATTTGTAGTCCTGGCTGGTCTGGAACTCTCTCAGTAGTCAAGGATGACCTTGAACTTCTGTTCTTCCTGTCTTTGCCTCCTGAAGGCTAAAAGTACAGGTGTATGCCACCATACCCGACTGACATGGTTCTGGGGACCCTAGGGCTTCATGCATGCTAGGCAAGCACTCTACTAACTCTCGGCCCCCAAAATGGGGTATTAATTTGTTTGGATTTATTTGATGTATTTGAGTGTGTTGTCTGTGTGTCTGTGCACCATGTACATGTCATGTCTGGTATCTATGGAGGTCAGAGATCCCACTGGAGTTACAGATGGTTATGAGTCACCTTAGAGTTCAGGGAACCAAACCCAGGTCCTCTGCAAGAACAAGTGCTCTTAGCCACTGAGCCATCTCTCCAGCCCCAGGAGATTCTATTTTGGTTTAAGGTAGCCAAGAGTTGAAAAGTTTTCTAATTTCAACATTTGAAAACTGGGCCCAGCCAGGCAGTGGCTGCACACACCTTTAATCCCAGCACTTGGGAGGCAGAGGCAGGCAAATCTCAGAGTTGGAGGTCAGCCTGGTCTACAGAGAGAGTTCCAGGACTGCCAGGACTGCTCTTTCAGAGGTCCTGAGTTCAATTCTTAGCAACCACATGGTGGCTCATAACCATCTAAAAGGAGATCTGCTGCCCTCTTCTGGCATGAAGGCAGAACATAATAAATAAATCTTAAAAAAAAAAAAGTTCCACCAAGCCAGGTAGTAGGCCCATGCCTTTGATCCCATCATTCCAGAGGCAGAGGCAGGAGGATCTCTACTTGGAGGTCAGCCTAGTCTAAGTGGCTAGACAGCCAAAGCTACCCAAAGAAACCCTGTCTTGAAAAACAAAACAAAAAGAAGTTCCCACCAGGGAAGACTCCCAGCTCTATCCCTCACTTTGCCTACAGTGTAGATTTTTCTTTTCTTTTCTTTTCTTTTTTGGCTTTTGAGACAGGGTTTCTTTGTAGCTTTGGTGCCTGTCCTGAAACTAGCTCTGTAGACCAGGCTGGCCTCAAACTCACAGAGATCTGCCTGCCTCTGCCTCCTGGGTGCTGGGATTAAAGGCATGCGCCACCACCACCTGGCTCACAGTGTAGACTTAATGTTAATGTCTGGTCTATTTCCTTTACAAATGCTGTATAAAGGCCAATGCTGTGCACAAAATTTCTATGAGCTGGACATCATCAGGCTTATGGTTCTCCTCCGAGTCCAGGGCAGTGTATCCTGAGCCCACTGGGGGTCTGCAGGCACCGTGGAAGCCACTGTCATTCACCTTCCTCACTTGCACCCTTAGGAAGTAGGTGCTGGTCCCACCCCATGTTTCAGACAAGGAAAGCGAAGAAGACAGAACTCCTCCTCCTCCTCTGTTACAGCCTGAATCTGAACCAGGGTCTTACACTATGGAGATAGTATTCTCAATATACACTCTCCCCGCAAGGTCATGACCGCTAATTGCTTCTGGGCTGAGTTGTTTATTTCACAGAAGAGACTGAAGGGTGACTCTTCTTTATGGTGTAGAGTTTCAAATGTGAGAGGGCCTGAAGTTTATCCTACATCTAGAAAGAGGCTGCCCCACAGCCCTGCTCTGTCCCCAGCAACCAAAAGGGATCTGCCTGGCTGGCTGGCCAAGGGCCTGGGTCAGAATAGAAGCCTGTCCATCAAGTCAAGGCTGGCAACGCAGTCCGGTGCCGGCTGCTAAAGCTAAGATGGAGGAACTGAGTTCCAAGACTCGGAGAAGGTGGCAAGGAGGTCCTCAGGGTGGTATGTCAGACCTTGTGACACGTGGACAGTTGATCACAGCACCAGCTACAGCCTGTCCCAAAATTATAACTCCCACTGTGCGTAAGGCCCTCCCTGGCTGCTCTGGGGTCCCTCAAGAGAAGGCTGTGTCTGTAGTCTCCAAACATAAAGGCATAGAAAACTGGAAGTAGAGGTAGACAGGGTGCCAGGGTGTGCGGAAAGGCAGGTGGCCCCAGGCTGACCATCCATCCCAGGCTTCATATGTAGTATGCACTGCCTCTTTTCTCCCTAAGACTGAGTACCAGGACACGGCTCATGTCTTTAAATAAGAGGCTGGTAAATGAATGCGGAATCGGAGCACCAAGTATTCTGGGGGATTGGGAATGTGTGCCTGTGTATGTGTCTTTCAGGAGTTGAAGATTTGATATTGAAGACAAGAAACATTCTTAGAAGCGCCCTTCCCGGGGTGCTTGCTGTTTGAGACTAGAGATTATGGGGGGAATACAGGAATGCAAACCTGACAAGGGGCTACATTCCCTGGAAGCCCAGGAAAGTGGTGGTGAGTCTGGGGGTGCCCAACATCTTACCTAGAGTCAAACTTCTTCCCATCTTCGAAAGTGCCATTGTAGTGGTAACGCACAAAATCCCCCATCTGCACCTCTCGGGGACAGGCCCTGGGGATATGGTATCTCTCGATGACCACATCTTCCAAGGGGGCTCCGGCGGGGCTGGCACGGCCCAGCCCCCTCTCCAAGGTCTGTAGAAGCAGCAGTAAGCGCAGCATGGGGAGCCGGCGGAGGGTGTGGCTGGGGGACCCCGCAAGGAACATGGTGCCCAGATTGAAGACGCCAGCAATGAGGTCGGACGCCAGTCGCCAGCCGCCAGCCTCCTTCCCCCTCCTCAGAGCTGACTCCCCCTCTTCCTGTCCTCTCTCCCCACCCCGCCCTGGCGGGTCCACGTGGAATGGGGGCTGGGGAGACTGAGCTGGCCGGGTGGGGTGATGATTGTGGTGGACTAGGAGGAGGGGTCCAGGTTGAGAGTCTCTGGAGTCCCAGCAATTTGCCACAAAGATCTCTGAGTTTCCCTTCCCCCCCAAAAAAACTTAGGGCCTGGCCCAGAGGGAGGTTCGGGAAAGATGAGAAGTCAGAATGGACTTCCAAAAGAAAAAAAGTTTTGTCCTGAGCCTCTGGGTCCTAATGCTGGTTGGAGGAATCTCTAGCTTTTCCTGGCTCCCCAAATCTAGGCCCCTTCTGGTGGCAGGTGAGACCGTAATCTGAAGGATATTTCAGTCCTTCCCCCTCCAACTCTCTTCCCGGGAGTGGGGCGGGGAGGGGGGGAGTGCTTTCTAGGTGAAAGGCTGCTTTGTCCTGCAAAAGCCAGACCGCTAGAAAGACGCAGGGATGGAGCTCAGAAGGGAGGCTGGTAGTGTCAGTGCCAGGTGTGCGGAGCTAACACGAGTTGTTGCCCCTCGACGCCGGCGCGGGTGTTTGTGGGGCCACCTAGAGGGTGCAAAGGGGGCTCTGGAGAAAAGACCAGATTCTGGGGCTTTACCCAGAGCGTAGGCAAAGCAAACAGAGGTGGCACTTAAGGTAAGGGACACTGCCGGTGGGGAGGGGCTTTCCAGGCGTGGAAATATAGCCCCTCCCACCCGGGTCCGCGGAGAGGGCGGGGCGGGGTAAGCGTTGCAAGTCCAGCCCACGTAGCGGACTAGAGCGACAACTGACCCTCCGAAAGAGACGGGTGTCCCAACCTCCTTGCTCTAGCCCGGGGCCCGGCGCTAAGACCCAGGAGGAGCTCCGAGGGGTGGGGGTGGGGGTGCTGAAGCCCGTCGGTCCTCCGGCTGCTCCGGGAGCCTCGGGACGCGGCGCGGGCATGGCTCGCCCGGCGTGGGGTTTGCTGTGGCTGCTGCTGGGCAGCGCGGGCGCGCAGTACGAGAAGTACAGCTTCCGAGGCTTCCCTCCGGAGGACCTGATGCCTCTGGCCACGGCCTACGGCCATGCTCTGGAGCAGTACGAGGGCGAAAGCTGGCGCGAGAGCGCGCGCTACCTGGAGGCGGCGCTGCGGCTGCACCGGCTGCTGCGCGACAGCGAGGCCTTCTGCCACGCCAACTGCAGCGGCCCCGCCGCCTCGCAGCCCCGGCCGGCGCTCAGCCCGGACGATGACGGCGATGGCGATGGCGATGGCGAGGACTGGGCGCGCGAGCTACGGCTCTTCGGTCACGTCCTGGAGCGCGCCGCCTGCCTGCGGCGCTGTAAGCGGACTCTGCCCGCTTTCCAGGTCCCCTACCCGCCGAGGCAGCTGCTGCGCGACTTCCAGAGCCGCCTGCCCTACCAGTACCTGCACTACGCGCACTTCAAGGTGGGCGCGGCCCGGACCGCCGTCGAGTTTCCCTAGAACGTGAGGCCCGCGGTGCGTCCAACGCCCCACTGACCCACTCCCCACGCCCCCCACCAGGCGAACCGACTGGAGAAGGCGGTGGCTGCGGCCTACACCTTCCTCCAGAGGAACCCCAAGCACGAGCTGACCGCCAAGTATCTCAACTACTACAGGGGAATGCTGGATATCGGAGATGAGTCCCTCACGGACCTAGAGGCCCAGCCCTACGAGGTGTGGAGAGAGTGGGAGGGTTGACTGGCCTTGGCGCCCCTTCCTACACCCGCCCCCCATACACACACACCTTACTAGCCTTCGGGGTTCTCTTGACTCCCCCTTACAGGCTGTGTTCCTCCGGGCTGTGAAGCTCTACAACAGCGGAGATTTCCGCAGCAGCACAGAAGACATGGAGCGGGCCCTGGCTGAGTACATGACGGTCTTTGCTCGGTGTCTAGCTGGCTGTGAGGGGGCCCATGAGCAGGTAGACTTCAAGGACTTCTACCCAGCCATAGCAGGTATCTCCCATTCAGACCACCGTGGGTAGTCTTCCCCCACAGGGCCCCTGACTGCTTCTCAGGCCTCCTAAGGCCTCCTAACACAGGGCTATGACCTGCAACAGCATTCAGTAGATATAGCAAAGTTCTCGGAAGTTACACATGAGTTAGGTCTTTTCTATCTCCAGTCTGTTGAGAGAAATGCTGGTATCCTTATTATGGATATATGGGACTATATAGAGAAATCTTGTCTCAAAAGGGGTGGGAGGCTGGTGTCCCATGACTTTAATGCCAGCACTTGGGAGAAACAAAGTAGCTGGATCTCTATGAGTTCAAGTACAGTCTGGTCTTTGCACCACCAACCATCTCCCAAATCATGACATGGAGACTTATTAGTTATGAACGCTCAGCCTTATCTTATGCTTGTCCTACTAGCATTATAACTTAAATTAACCTGTTTCTTTTCATCTACATTTTGCCTTGGGGCTTTTAACCTTTCTTTCATTCTGTGTGTTCTACTCTGTGTCTGGCTGACTGGGGGCTGCCTGGTTGACTGGCCCTGAGTGTTGACCTCACTTTCTGCTTAATTCTCTCCTCTAGTTTTCTCCTCCTACTTATTGTCTTGCCCAATAGCCCCACTTGTTCCTTTACTACCTAGCTATTGGCCGTTCAGCTTTTGATTAGACCAATCAGGTGCTTTAGGCAGGCAAGGTAAAACAGCAACACATCTTAAATAAACAAATGTGCCAGGCAGTGGTGGCACACATTCTCAGGAGGCAGCACTCGGGAGGCAGAGGCAGGCAGATCTCTGTGAGTTCGAGGCCACCCTGGTCTATAAGAGCTAGTTCCAGGACAGGTTGCAAAGTTATAGAGAAACCCTGTCTTGAAAACCTAGAAGAAAGGAAGGAAGGAAGGAAGGGAAGAAGGAAGGAAGGAAGAAAGAAAGGAAGGAGCAAACAAATGTAACACACCTTTACATAAAGTAATATTCTGTGGCATAAACAATATAACACAACTTTACATAGTTAAAGTAATATTCTATAACACTGGTCTACATTGTGAGTTCCAGAACAGCAAGAGCTACATAGTGAGACCCAGTTTCTAAACAAAAACTTTAAAAACAAATAAACAAACAAAAAAAAGATTCAGAACTGGCACCAGACAGGTGTGTGCAGAAAACAGTTGTGGGCAAAATCACAATGAGTCTTTGGATCCCCTAACCTACAAGGCCCCTCAAAGAGGGTAAAGGTGGGGACTAGAGAGATGGCTCAGCAGTTAAGAGCACTGGCTACTCTTCCAGAGGACCTGAGTTCAATTCTGAGCAACCACAGGGCAGCTCACAACTGTCTTAACTTCAGGATCCAACCCCCTCACACAGGCATACATTATTCTATATGGTCTCAGTCTCGTCTGAAGCTCACCTGCACTTCTCCCAGGATTCCCTCTGATATCAGATAGGGGTTGAGCCACAGAGCTGGGGGCATAGCAAGTGCTTCTCAGCCTGCATCATGTACTGTGTGGCAAGCATTTCATACGTGTTAATCCATGAGATCTTGACAAGGATGTACCTCTTGCACAGGAAAGCAGGCTCGTAGGCAGATCTTGGTCTCCACAGGGGTCGGGATTAGCACACCGCTTCCTAACTGCTGCATCCCTTCCTAGATCTCTTTGCAGAGTCCCTACAATGCAAGGTGGACTGTGAAACCAACCTCATCCCCAACGTAGGTGGCTACTTTGTGGACAAGTTTGTGGCCACTATGTATCACTACCTACAGTTTGCCTACTACAAATGTGAGCTTCCCGACCTTCCCGACTGAGCTGGGTGAAGGGGGACAAGGGGTGTGGGAAAGGGCAGTACATGGGGTCTGCCAGAGATATGAGAAGGTGTCTCTCAGACTGAAGACTCTGGGGAAGGGGATGAAAGGCTAAGGGTGGTGGAGACATGGGTAGAACCCAGGTAGAGCATATGGGGGAAGGTGAGGCCTCAAGGAAGAATGGGAGACCCTCGGGTAGACAAGGTCAGCGACACTGCTCAGCACTGCAGGGTTTACGTAGCACTTCTCTCTCTCCTCTCAGCAACACATGCCACTGGCGTTCCTGGATCCATTCTTCAGGTTAAACTTAGGTTTCCGAAGGGCAAGAGACCATTAGCCCCGTGACTAGGGAGTCCCAGAGAGGTTGTGCCATCAGCTCTGGAGTGGGTCAGTCCAGGGTTCCTATAACTCAGGGATGCACGCTTCAGGGCCTAGAGCCGTGAGCGGAGGCGCTGAGATCAGGGACCAGGAGGCTCCTCCTGAGGCTGTGACAAGGAGCTCTAAGGACTGCTGAGTCTCCCAGCTGCTGTCACTCTCCAGCAGTATCGGCACCAGCAGTTTATCTCGTCACTCTGCAGCTCCAAGCCCTTGTCTCTAAACCGCAGTGACAAAGATGGAGGTACAAGCAGTTTATCTCGTCTCTCTGCGCCTCCAATCCTTTGTCTGTAAACCACAGTGACAATGATTGAGGTGTCCGTGACTCACCCTTGCCTGGTAGGAGGGCCACACCCAGGGCCTGTTGGATTGGGCGGGTGGGGTGAGGAGCCAACTGATATTCTGGGAGGTGTCTGGGGGTAAAGACAACAGGCTACAGGCTAGGTTGAAAGGTGGGAGTGAGATGGGGTGAGTGGATTGCCTTTACAGGGAAACATCAGGGTCCCCCCTTTACTTTTTCCTGCCTGCAGTGAATGACGTGCGCCAGGCCGCCCGCAGTGCTGCCAGCTACATGCTCTTTGACCCCAAGGACAGTGTCATGCAGCAGAACCTGGTGTATTACCGCTTCCACCGGGCTCGCTGGGGCCTTGAAGAGGAGGACTTCCAGCCCCGGGAGGTGGGGACTGCGTCTAGTGGCGCACTGGCCTAATGCGCAGTTTTGTGGTTTCGTTTAGAAAAAAATTAAAAAATGCAGAAAAACCTCTTGGCTTCCTTGGAAGGCTGGAGAGGAAGGGGAAATAGTGAATGTGGGCTGTGGGTAGGGTCTAGGCTTCAGCATAGTGTCTGGGATGTGGGAGATGCAAATGGGT